ATCTTTTGTTCATTCAGACGTCGAATCCTCAATGGATCGTTGGAGAAGAATCAAGAACGTCCTTAGTTCTCAGCAGGGATTGTTTTGAAATTTTCCAATTGTTAAGTAGGGGCAAATTAGTCATTTTTCACCCTATTTTCTTATTTTTTTAATTTAAATAAATTTTAATTATCCCCAATTAAGGTTAGTTTTGGGTAATCCACTCACATTTTAGCCCTAGTCTATAAATAGATGCTACATCTCATTGAAAAAAAAAAAGAACTTGAGAGATCTCGAAATCATTGTACAAGGATTCAACTTTTGATCAATAGAAATTAAGGTTTTCTTCTTGAGTTCTCTTGGGCACATCTTGGAGAGAGAGAGAAGACAGAAAGTTTAGAGTGCTACCCCTCCTATCTTCAAGTTATTTTCTCTCTCTTCCCTTCTCTCTCTTCGGTTTTGTTTTTCTATGTTTTCTTCTCTCTCCTCTTCTCCTTCTTCTTCTTCGTCTTTCTTCTTCTTCTATGTTGAGTTTTTCTCAAAGGCCATGCACAACAGTGATTGTGTCGTGCATGCCTCTTTCTTTCTTCTCCCTCTTTCTTTTCTCTCCCTCTTTCTTTTCACTCCCTATTCTCTCTTCCTCTTCATGTGACTTCGCTGATCGTGCATGGCGATGGCAGTGCCATGCGCGAACTTCTTTCTCTTTCCTTCCCTCTTCGTTCGTCTCTTTCCCTCAACATAGTTCATGTACGACGTTAGTCATGCATAGCACTGTCTGAAGGAACACACGGCAAGCCGGGTCGTGCTCAAGCATTGGGTCGGGCTCCTGTTTCGGTTCCAAGATTAGTGTCACGCACAGCGATGCATTGTCGACCATGAACTATATTTATTTCATCTCACGAGTCACAAACGACACTGCTCACCATCGTTCGCAGGTGTATCTTCGGTGTCCTGCACAAGCGCAGACGGCGACAGTCATTATTGTCCACAGACATGTTTTCAGTGTCCCGTACCTATCGCAGACGGCGATGCTTATTGTCGCCCATGGGGCTATCACCTGTGATTCGCATCTGTCACAGACGGCATTGCTTACCGCCGTCTGCGGGCCTCTCTTTTGCACTCCTATCGCAGACGGCGATATCTATCGCTCCTTGTGAAGGGTAATTGTTGCCTTCCCACGTCACTGACTACGATGGCCAATGCCATTTGTAGTTCACTGCCTCCGCCGCGAGCAGCACCGTCTAGCGCCATCTAGGGACCACGACACCGTTACTCCCTGGCTGTGGGCAACGATGTCTAATGTCGCCGGGACCTTCTTACTCCTTAGCCTTGCCTCTTTCCTCTGCGCTTTTCTCTTCTTTTTGCTTCTCTTCTCTCTTGACTAAAGGACAGACTCAATCTAGTACTGTCATAGCGGTTTGGCTGTTAAGCAGTATTACCGCCGTGTTGGTCAAGAGTACCATGCCCATCTTGCTGCCACACCAAATTAGGATGGTCATATCGGCCTTGGTTTTTAGTAGTATTACCGTTGTGCCGGTCTGAGTTACCGTGCCCGTCTTGCTACCACTCCGAGTCGGTCACTGTATTGGTCCAGCTATCATCCTAGTCTCGTTCCCTTGTCAAGTCCTCTTTTATTTTTTCCCCTTATTCAAATCCTCTTCTTCATCGTCGTAACTTCTTATCTTCCCTGTCATCTGAATGTGCACATCTGTGCATGTTCACCCCAAGACAAGGGTGGATCCATCGGCCCACTTGTCTTGCAAATTAACCATGTTAGTACTTTACAGAAAACAAGGAGATTGCAGGTAAAGAGAGGCGATTTCAAATCAGTTGAAGCAACTGAGGGGTTTTCCGTCGTTATCTAAGGGGGTGCTCGCGCGAGTAAGCCCGAGTGAGTCATGGACTCAAGTGAGGTTGGTCCCCACCTCACGAATAAAATTCCTCCCTCACCAGTTGGGCAGCTGCCTTTGTTTTGTGAACAAGGATCCTGAGAGAGCGATCTCAGGTCTCAGGTCTTCTTAACCCTAGACACGTGTCAACCGATCACCTAGATCCAGAGGGCGAGATTGAGGCATCTGAGTAATGATATTATTGAAAAGAATGGAATACTGTAAGTTATTTGTTATCTTCAGATATGATTGCAGACCCTTTAACAAAGGGATTAAGTGTAGAAATATTATCAAAGCATATAACTTTGATGGGACTTAGGAATATTTAAGTCAAGAACTCCCAAATGGGATATTTTTCTTTGATGTCTTGGCCATAACGTGACTTTGAATATTTTTTATTATAAATCTAGTGTGAAAAGCCTCATGACAAGGATATGCTCAAAAATGTTAAACTCACTAAGTGGTATAGACTTTATGATATTTCAATATATCTAGCCCTCGTAGCCAAGTGGGAGATGTTGATACTTGTGGGTGGTCATAGGGCTTCAAATATGACATGTTTCTTTCTCTTTATCTTAATAACACATTTTAATATTTGTCACTAAAAAGGCTTCTTAGAGAGAGAAGCTGTCTTTATTTAATGGGTAGAAGATAACAACCCACCTTCCAGGATAAGAGGGCCATGTTTCTCAGAGATTCTATGAGGAAAGTCGAACATTGGAGAACAGCCTCCTCCCATCCCTCTTTAAGAAGAGTTTCATGGCTATGGAGAAGAGCATAGAGAAAAGTTGAGTTCTCAATTGTTCTAGTAAAACTGATCTGTACGATTCATAGTCTCACGATACTGCCATTAATACTTGGGAGCATGTTGGATTATCTCTTCCCCACAAAATCCAACGGCTCACGTTCCATTATATCAAAATGTTTATTACAAGCATTCACAAGGCCTTTAATGGCCACACTCACCCCAATATTTGACACTCCTCAACTGAGTGTACTTTGCAAGGTGCATGCGTCTTTCATTTGATTAGTTATTAGTATTTCATTTGAACAAGTTACCAGATTGTTTTCTTTTGATGGCTTTGAATGCAATAATGGTGATTCTATGGGTTTTTTTGGTGTTTACCATCCACTGTAACTACGTTTGTGATTCTATGGGTTCTACTGCGTCTGTTATTGTATGGGTTCTTTTGGTGTTTACAATCTTCCCATTTGTATGAACTGCATAAGTATCAAACATCTGTTAATGGAGATAGCACTGGAGAAGAACAAGGTTTATCTCATGAAGAGGATTATCAACATGTTCTCAAAGGTGCTTGGCCTTTTTCATCAGTTGAAAGAACTTGGGCAGAGAGATTTTGCATATTAGAGCTCTCTATCTCTCTTATTTTGTTGTTTTTTTACTCTTTTTTATGTCTAAGGAGGTTTAATGTAAACATTTCTTTGTGGCTAGCTTGAATGTGTAGTTCTAGTCTATTACTTGGTTTCTCATGTGTAAGCTTGAATGTATAGTTCTAGTCTATTACTTGGTTTCTCATGTGTAAGCTTGAATGTGTAGTTCTAGTTTGCTCATGTGTAGTTCCAGTCTACTTCAATGATCTGCGTTGGGCCATTGAAAGGCCAGCTATTATCGGGTCGGGGCTGGACTTTTAAAGGGATGGGCTGAAATGCCTGAAATCATTCATGCCCCTCTTCTAGAAATGGGTTTTTGGAGAGAGAAGAACTAGAAAATGGGTTTTTAGAGAGAGAATGGATTTTTAAAGAAAAGGGGACTTGATGCCATGTTGATGAGAGTGAAAATTGAAAACCCAAATGATCAGATGCCAGAGGAAGGAAACCAAGAGCTCAAATTAAATCAAGCCCTAAAATTAAACGGATGAGAGACCAAAAAGGCCACGTGTACTCACCTCTCTTTCTAGTACTTTTTTTATTTAAAGGGGTTTTAAATATTTGAAAAATTCATTCGCAATTTTTTGTAAGAAAAGTTTGAAAAAAAAAAAAATTAGGCCGGGGTCAGGCCAGGCTCAATAGGCGTAATGGGGTCCTTTCAATTTTTTTTCCTTTAAGAAAAGTCCCCAAAAAGTTTAACCCAAAACAAAACCAAACCAAAAAATGAAAAAAAAAGGGGGGGATGAAGGGGGCGGGGGAGGGATTGGGGCAGTGGCCTGATGGGCCTTCCTGGTCTGGACTAGGGCCTATGCATACTATTTTTGGGCCGTACCGTTTCGAGCCTGGTTTTTTTTGTGAATTTTTGGGTCTGATCTGGCCGAGCTGGTCCGGGCCTATTTTTGTGGCGGCCCAAAACAAGGTACCGGATTTTTGGGCGTCGGCCAGGGCCAGCCCGGTTGGCAGCTCTACTCTTGACCGTGCTAGCATTGTACACAAAGCTTTAAAGGCCATAATTCGAACACTGTACATAATTTTTCTTTATAATAAATAGCAGCAATATATAGCAATATATAGGAGTCGAACAAAATTTCACATCATAAGGTAGCGGAGAAGTAGCGCATAAATATCAAAGTCACTCCCATTTCACGAACAAAAGTCAAGAATTTACACTTGTGTAAGAAGAGGTCGCTGTTTGATGAACATTGCATCAGTCATCTTCAACTAAAGGAAAAAGTTTATATAAGGTTATACTTAAAAACAAGTTTATATAAGGTTATACTTAAAAACCCACTAGAAAAGGTTGTTCTTTAGGCTGGAAAACCCTCAAATCAATCATCTCGACCTCGAGATTGATAGACATGAAAAACGGGATTTCCAATGCAAAAAATAGTTCATCTTCTGATACATTATCTAGACCGTCTATTTTCAAGATTTTCAAGTGTTTACAGTTCTGTCAGATCGTCACCATTTCCAAAATTTTAAATTTCATAATGGGGGACAACAATAGATTTTTGTATCATTACAAGGCTTTGCGGCACCGACACTACATTTTAAGCATCATTTTGAAGTGCACCTTCCGTCAATAGTATAAGGTTGACACTTATACGAACCTCACCCTTAACTAAACCTGATATTTTACACTAGATATTTCAATTCCGAAAGGGGGCAGGTACCTCAACATAAAGTTCTAGACTCCACTCCTACGGTTAATACTTTGAAATAATCTTAAAAAATTAAATATACGTTGAAATATGATATCAGAGGGAGAGAGAGGTGGGGTTAGGTTGTTTGGGAAGAGGATGATATCGTTGGGTAAAAGCGAATTCATGTTGAAAGCGGTGAGGGCCACCATTGCTGTTGTTACTAGTATGGAGGTGATGCATAGTAACAGCTTCAGCACGTGTGCCGTGCTGCCTTCCGCGTATTCAATGGAAGCCAATGCTAACATAGTGAGAGAAAAGGGATAGGCCCACCAGGACACATGGAAGCTCCCCATTGCTTTCCTGAAGAAATTGGGTCTCACTGCCTGCAATGCCGACCAAAAGAAGCAACGAGATCCCTGTTATTGGTTCCAATAGAAAAGCACTGGTACAATAAGAGATAAATGTATTACATTGTTGATCACTTAATTTTTTTTTTCCTCATGTCAATTTATTTTTCATTGAATCATATGTTGTCCATGCACCTACAAAATTTCCCATGTAAGACCAATTCATATAAAAAGAAAAACTAAAATAAACTGAGTATCAACCCATCTCATGGTATGCGGTCAATCAGGGTTTTAGAGCGACTAGTTCTGTCACAAAACCGAACAATCTGGACACATTTTTTATTTTTTTTATTTTAAAAACTATTATTATTCAGTTTTTTATTTGTTATTGGCAATTCACCTAGCCGGATCGTCGATCCAGACTCCTGATCTAGACCGATTTGCCAAACCGACAATTTGGGTCATCGATCTGTTTTTGTTTGTGTCATGTGACATCGGTTGTAGTCAGTAGGCTGTAATCTATACAACTGCGGCTGCCCTAAAACCCCACACGGTAGGAAAAAAACAAGCTTCAGAAGCCAACCCAAGCTGGACATTGCGATACGAAGTTTGCGGCGGGAGAAAAAAAAGGATTGCTTCAAAGGGAATTTCGGTAGTTAGGTCAAACAAAATCTCTAGAAAACAGAAGACCCTCTCATGCCTCTCTCCCTGCTTTTGAATGCTCCATAACGAACTCAAAAGTTATCACATTTATAACAAGTCGGTGGAGAGAGGCGCCGTCGAGAGGAACACGAGTCAGATAAGGAGACAGAAGTGTTAGTGTACGTGGATTTGGTGGTAGTACCATTGAATTTTGTCGTGATGAAATCTCAAAGTTTTTTTATAATAAAGTAAGAGCCCAAAACTTATTTTTTTTTATTAAAAAAATAAAATAAAATAAAAAAATGAGTACGGAAAAAAAGAAGGAAAGAAAAACAGAGTCAAAGAAGGAGAGAGAGATTTTAATTCTGTGTATTTTCACTTACCAATGAAGTGAAGAGAAAGAGAGCAAGAAAGAAGAACATCTTGGAAGCAATATCGAAGGCACCGGAAATAGCTCCCCATCCGAGACTAGCAGCGCTGGGTGCCGCCACATAAAGGAAAAACACAGGATATAGTGTTCGGGGAATGCCGCAACCATCGATTCTCTGATAGAGAGTAACAAAGAGCACCAAATAGTGAGCCGTGCCAACCGAGAACAACAATAGAGCCACCTCCTCTCTCCCTAACTCAACCGCAGTCTTTGCACCAACAAAGTTTGCAATCACCGAAAGGTGGGCCGACGGGTTAGCTACAGCAGCAAGGTTGAACCTTTTCCCCCGAGTAAACCATTGCCCATATATCCTCAGGTCCAAAGCAATCACGGGTGCTATGGAGGCCCAAAACCAGACCCTATGAAAGGGGCTACGGAGCTCACGTGAGGAGAAAGGAAATGATTGGAGCAAAAGCATGGATGAGATCGATGGGGCAAAAAGGTAGTTAACACGTAAGCGACTGCTAAATTCTGCTTGAACCGCAGCCCAGTGTCGAGCACACCTGCACAGGTAGAGGAGGGAGAGAGAGAGAAGCGAGACTGAGGCCAAGGCCCAGTGAAGGGTGAAGGCAAAGGAAGGGAGGAGAGAGAGGAAGTGAGAAGAAGGATAATAATGTTTCATTTGTTTCAACAAAAGGGCTTGGCTACACAGAGAGAGGCTTATTCTAAAGTGACCAACATGTACTCTCAAGAGAAAAGGCCACTTATCCTCCTCTCTCACCTTCACTTTCATTGTCTTCCCTTCTTCTTTTGGGTCTTGGGTTATGACAATCTCAAGTTCTTGAAGCTGGTGATTGGGGCTCTTGTCTTTCTCCATCTTCTGTGGGGGACTAGTGGGTGGAGAGGAAGAGGAGAGCTGGTTATTAGGCTTCTTCCCTTCTTTCACTTTGAAATTCAGTAAGCATGGATACAGAGGAGATCAGTAAGCATGAATTGAGAGAGAAAGAGGGGGCGGATTTATAGGGATGGATATCCCTATCCGGGCTTGGCGTGCACCTTTCAAGACACCGTGAACCCCACTTCCCTCTATTTCTATTTGTGAGGCTGGTGGAACTTACAATGTTTAGCTGGAAAATGGAAGTCACCTATTTTGCTTTGGCGTGATGTAATAAAGAGATATTTATGTAGGGACGATAGAGCAACATGAATTCCACTCTGTTTGAACTAGTAACAAACCAAAATGCTTGATGATTGAAAGTAAACAAACCTCATGAAAACAAATCAATCACTTAACAGGACAACATCAATGGATGCCACTCGACAATTTTAAAACAAAAAATCTTCAAATTAGGAATTCATAGAGCAACATCAATTCCACTACGTTGAACCAGTAACAAACCAAAATGCTTGATGATTGAAAGTAAACAAACCTAGTGAAAAAAAATCAATCACTTAACAACGCAACATCAATGGATGCCATTCGACAATTACGGTAAAATATTTTTGAAAATTATGACTTCACAGAGCAACATGAATTCCACCCTGTTTGAACCATTAACAAACAAAAATGCTTGACGATTGAAAGTAAACGAACCTAATGAAAAAAAATCAATTACTTAACAGAGCAACATCAATGGATGCCACTCGACAATTTTAAACCAAAAAATCTCGAAATTAGGACTTCACAGAGAAACATCAATTCCACCC